TCAAATTTCTTCCCCCCCCCCAAAAAAAATAAATTGGGATCTACAAAAGTTAAAGTCAGTCCAAGTTTTTTTTTTTTTTAAGATTAACCATAATTTTTAGAAAGTAAATAAGTATTATTAAAGTGGTACATACTTACCAATGTTTTACAATGGTCTTCAAGTATAGTCCAATAAAGTCAAACACTGACTTATTCCTGACCAGAAGAGACATTCTCCTGACATCCCACCGAAAACAGTTTATTTAATAAATCTAGCACTTTTAAACTCCCATCTGGAGAGTGAAATAGTGGAGGCAGGATCCATACATAGCTTAAAGAAAAGGCACGATAAAGCACTTGTGGGAGGGAGAGAGTGGACCTAGTAACGACCAGCGACGAGGCAGCGCCAGGAGCTACGCCACGACCCCTGCAACCACAAATAGGTGATTACAAGACTCACGGAATCGTAATGACACGATTGCAAACAAACCATACCAAGGGCGGGGACAGAACCCGCTAACGCGACGGTCTGGAGTTTTGAGACTCTCTGATCGCGGGTTCCATCCCCGCCAGTGGTAAGGTGATTACAACCTTAAATCAAGAAAAACTCTCTTTCAGGAGGAAAAAAAGTTAGAACTAAATATTTAAATTGACCATAGAGCGAGTTGCGAGTTGCGAGTTTTCCAGCTATTGTACCGAACCAATAAAAGTTGCGCTTCACATAGGGTCTTCAAGAAACTTTTCATCCATTTCATACGATGTATCGGCCATTAACTATTGGTGCTGTTTAAATTCCTTTATTTCCAGCAGGGAACGCGTTTAACCTGTAGGGCCATATAGCACCTGTGGAATAAAAGACATTCAAGTTCGATCCAAGAAAGGGGAGGATAAGTCCTGTTTCTTGGATCAAAACCTTCAGGAAGTTTAATCCATTTATGTAATGCCAAATATTGCTATGAAAATTAGACACATGTGCAACATCTGGGTATCTTTTATTGTAGACGTTTCGCCATCCAGTGGCTTTATCAATACAAATTCCAGGACATAACTTGAAGACAGTAGAACTATATACAAAAGGCGAGGTAATCAGTCCCTCAGCCTTCCTTAGAGTTGGTGTGAAGAGCACCGTAGTCGTGAAGAATCTGGAGCACAGACAATGTTAGGTTAGGTAAGGTTCGTCAAGAAGCGGGACATGTGGTTCCTGAAGTGAGTCTTGGTCTGATAATGACCTTTGGAGCTTTTGGTTATCTGACCGAGGCCTTCCGCTGGCTTACAGGCAAGAAGGCTGGCGTTTATATACTGGCGTCAGGTGGAAAGGGACGTGTAGCAGACGAAGACACTGTCACTGGTGGGTGGAATTCCCCAGTGGAAGTAGGTCCTACCCGAGTGACGGGTTAGTAGTAGTGAAGAAGGTTGTGGAGATGTTCTCTGAACCAAGATTCACTGATGTTGCAGTGTCTGACAAACTGTACATGAATGATATAAAATACCGACAATAAAGACGTCTACAATAAAAATATCTAGATGTGCAACATCTGGGTATCTTTATTGTAGACGTTTCGCCAATAAGCGGCTTTATCAATTCAAATTGAAAAAGGTAATTTGAAGACAGTACAATTATGTACAGTAAAACTATATCAGACACTGCAACATCATGGAATCTTGGTTCTGAGGACATATCCACAACCTTCATTTCTACTACTGACCGTCCCTCGGGTAGGACCTACTTCCACTGGGGAATCCCACCTACCAGTGACAATGTCTTCGCCTGCTACCTGTCTTTCACCACCTGACGCCAATACATAAGCGCCAGCTAACCTTGTACTTCAGATTCTTCACGACTACGGTGCTCTTCACCAACTCTAAGGCTGAGGGACTGATTACCTCACCTTTTGCAGAAAGTTCTACTGTCTTCAAATTATGTCCTGGAATTTGTATTTATAAAGCCACAATAAAGATAACAAAAAGCTGCACATGTGTCTAATTTTCATCATGTCAGTATTGTATACCTGGAAAAGCCGCGGTCACTTGTGGTGGACTAGTGCCTGATCAACCAGGCTGTTACTGTTGGCAGCACGTAAACCGACGTACGAACCACAGCACGAAGGCAGCCAGGGATCTATTAGTAATCCCCCTTATGTATGCTGAGAGGCAGTTAAACAGTCTTGGGCCCCCTGACACTTACGGTGTTGTCTCTCAGCGTGCTCGTGGCGCCCCTGCTTTTCAGTGTCGGTATGCTGCACCGCCTGCCTACCCTTTTGCTGTCGTAGGGAGGAATTTTCGTGTTCAAATTTGGTACTAATCCTTCTAAAAATTTCTAAGTGTACATTATCAAATATTTCTCTCGTCTCCGTTCCAGAAAAAACAAGTCAAGCAGCTTCAACCGTTCCAGTAATTTAGGTGTTTTATTGTACTTATGTGTGCCGTGAAGATTCTCTGTACATTCTCTGGGTCAGCAATGTTGCCTGCCTTGAAAAGCGCTGTTCGTGTCCAGCAGTATTCCAGCCTAGAGAGAATCGATTTGAAGAGAATCATCATGGGCTTGGCGTCCCTAGTTTTGAAGGTTCTCATTATCCATCCTATCATCTTTCTTGCAGATGTGATAGATACATTGTTGTGATCTATCTCTATCAACATCTCCAACCTTCTTCTAGGTAGGAGACACCGATGTTGAAATTCTGGAGATCAAAAATGGCTTTCTAAAATTATCTCATGGAAACCAATTTCAGGAACTGCCTATCTAAAATTAAGCAGAAGGCATCTGCTGAATTGTTCCGGAATCCTTCACCTAATAATAGTTTTCCATGGTTGAAAATTTGAAGCCGATCGGATAAGGCACTGTTGGAGCAATTTAGTGGTAGACGAGAACACTTATTTAAAATGTGTCGGGTTTGGTGCCGGTCATTTCTCCATGTGGAATCCATAAGTGGGTCGCCTGTGTTCGATCCATAAGCATCAGAGTGTAGTCTACCAAAATTAGAAGCAGTGAGAAGGTGACTAGAATCCTAAACGTGTTTTGAAAGAAAAGAATTTGTTTTAGCCCAACTTGAAACAAGATGTTGCAGCGGTGGCAGTGTTGAGATGCGTTGAAAAATGGTCTGAGCAATGAATACCCTTGAGGTAAATTGGGAGGTTATGAATGACTGACCGAGAAGCTGAGTCTTCCTCTTTATTGCCCTGAACACCATCGTAGCCAGGGACCCAGCAAAAAATGATTTCTATATACTTATCAGAAATGTGACATAACCAAAGTTTATAATAAAAAAACGATGCGATAAGGAAAGTCGAATTTCTAGGTAGTTTGTAACACCAAGAATTAAAAAGATCTACGAGGTGGACATACAGTGCTCGTCACGGCATTTTGCCGGGTGAGCGCCCCGGCATAATGCCGTGACAAAAATCAAAGGCATATCATACAGGATGATCTTTCTTCGTCAGTGCATTCTGCTGGGCAACAGCCATTAGCATGATGTCTCGGCCTGTCGCCACACCTCACAGTGATTTCTCATTGCTCACATGGCTGCCGTGGTGAGAGGAAGTGTTGCACTGTTGTTTCTCATCCGCCCCATCTTTTGACCGGTGTTCCCTTTGGTTTTGGGGCTATACATGTTTTATTATGGGTAAAAGGAAGTCTTTAACACCTAAAACTATAGCTCAAATCATAGGACTTCACAAAGCTGGGCACCAGACGAAAGAAACAGTGGGAATGTTAGTGTGTGTGAGAGTTCAGTGAGGAACTGGGTGCAGCGTTTAAAGGCTGGAGAGTCTGGAGTCTGGAGAGAGTTCCGGGGGTCAACGCCCCCGCGGCCCGGTCTGTGACCAGGCCTCCTTAGGTCAGTGTCCCAGGTTGCGACCCACACCAGTCGACTAACACCCAGGTACCCATTTTACTGATGGGGAACATAGACAACAGGTGGAAAGAAACACGTCCAATGTTTCTACTCTGGCTGGGAATCGAACCCAGGCCCTCACCGTGTGAAGCGAGAGCGTTAACCACCATGCCACCAGAGCTGGTGGCGGTGTCGAGTTACCGTCTGCCAAACCTCGGCCTGGCCCCTTAAGGAAGACTTCTCTAACTCTCTAACTGCTTCCTTAACATAGTTAAGGTACGAACAGATGTCTTCCTCAAGGGGCCAGGCCGAGGTTTGGCAGACGGTAACTCGACACCGCCGCCAGACTTTAAACGTTGCACCCAGTTCCTCACTGTTTCTTTCGTCTGGTGCCCAGCTTTGTGAAGTGCCTTTGTAGTCCCCTCTCTTGTAATTTTGGCTTCGTTCATCCTCCCCTTCCTGCTTTCCTCTCCACTTGTAACTCTAATATATATCCGATGCTCAGGACCACGTGGTCACTGGCCCCGAGGGGTCTTTCATATGTGATGTCCTCAATATCTGCACTACTCAAGGTGAATACTAAGTCCAGTCTTGCTGGTTCATCCTCTCCTCTCTGTCTCTGGTAGTGTCCTTTACGTGTTGGTACATGAGGTTTTCCAGTACGACCTGCATCATCTTAGCCCTCCACGTTTCTGGTGTAGCACTTACACTGTTTTACAGTCTTGTCCTGAGATAATTTGTTATTATTCCCACGTATGTAGCTTTTCTTATGGTTACATTATTCAATTTATTAAAAATATTCTTTTTGCGATGAACCTTTGATGCGATGACTACGAGGGTTATTTATTTGTGATGCATTTTAGATGCTATGAAGAGTTTAAAAATAGTTTTGGACTTAGGGTTATAAAAATTATTTAAAAAAAAAATAAGAAAAACACAGCCACCCACTCAGATAATGCTTCACTCACCCGCGGTTTACGTCCATCCACTCTTGTAATGTCGTTCAGAGATTCTTTCATTTAATTTTACCCTCCCATTATTCTGGCCTGTTTTTCAAGTTGTTGTAGAAGTGTTCTGGGAGATATGATGAGGAAAGTCTTCTTGTAATCCGGCGAGATGAAGTTTGCTTCTCCCTTTCTTTCCCATCCGAACATGAATAAGGGCAAAGATATATTTCCTCCATTACAGCACAATGGGTGAGCAGATAGCGTGGTGGACGAGGTGGGCGTGGCTGTGTGTATTGGTTGGCGAGCGCTTTGTAGTGGGCGTCTGTGTACCCCAGGACGGAAAGACAGTTTTCTTCACGAAAGGTGACGCCGTTATTACTCAGCTTCTGCCTCTTCACTATGGATCTCGCTGTGACCAGGTAGAGTCACCAGCTCTCTAGTCTATAAATTATGATCTAAAGCTTGTTTTTCTGATGAATATTTACACCAGGAAATGAATTTTACCGACCTGAAAAATTTAATATTGTCACACACTAGTAATGTAACACACAACTCGTTACATGTACACATCTTCCCTCATACATATATACATACATATATATATATATATATATTATATATATATATATATATATATATATATATATATTATATATATATATATATATATATATATTATATATATATATATATATATATATTATATATGAGGGGTGTTAATGTTGCAGTTTAAAAACTGTAGTGTAAAGCACCCTTCTGGCAAGGACAGTGATGGAGTGAATGATAGTGAAAGTTTTTCTTTTTCGGGCCACCCTGCCTTGGTGGGAAATCGGCCAGTGTGATAATAATATATATATATATATATAAAATATATATATATATATATATATATATATATATATATATATATATATATATATATATATATATATATATATATATATATATGAGAGGAAGCTTGGATTGATAGGATAAAGACAGAAGTGTTAAAAGCAGGTGGGGATATAGATATGAAGTGGTTGGTGCTATTATTTAATAAATGTATGGAAGAGCGTTAGGTACCTAGAGCATGTATAGTTCCTTTGTATAAAGGCAAAGGGATTAAAAGAGAGTGCAAAAATTATAGGGAAATAAGTCTGTTGAGTATACCTGGCAAAGTGTATGGTACAGTTATTATTGAGAGAATTAAGAGTAAGACGGAGAATAGGATAGCAGATGAACAAGGAGACTTTAGGAAGGGTAGGTCGCCATTTTCATATCTAGATGCCTTATGAATTTCGTCCTATAACAGCTTACTGCACTCTATATCAAGGTTTGGGGGCCTATAAATCACACCCAAAATTAATTTGTTATGCTCCTCGAGAAACTGTAGCCAAACAGATTCGGGTGTTCGATTTTCTAAGTTTAAATATCATGTCTTAGACAACAATTTAAATTATCTCTGACATACATCCCCCACACCCCACCCTTCCTGTTGACCCTATCAGTGTGGAATATTTTATAACCTGCATGTTGCATTCAGAAGTCATTTCTCTATCTTTCAGGTTGAACAGGTCTCTGTTATAGCAATAACATCTATATTACCTGCATTTTGCAAGTAATCTTAGCTCATCTATCTTATTTCTTAGATCCTACTATTTGCATAGTAAACCTAGAGGGAGCTAGTCACTCGTTGCCCTCTTCTCTCTCTCTTTGTTTGTTGATCAGTTGATTTGCATTTCCTAGCAACTTTATTTTGAATATTGTCTTTTTAAACATATCCCTGAGGTATCCCGGTAATAGTGTTGTTTTCAACCCTAAAAACGGGATCCTGATTGTTTCCCGCAAACACCCATCCCTCTAAAATCTATCAGTTTTAAAGTCTTAGACAAGTCATCAATTACCCCCTCAATTAAATTTGACTAATGCAACCACTCCAACCCCAGAGAGATAAACCCCATCCCTTGCATACATATCAGTTTGCCATAGAATTTGCCCCAGTTATCAATGAATGCGATTGCAAGTTCCTTGCAGTACCAGTCTAGCCAGTAATTTATACCAATTGCCCTAGACATCCACTCATTGCCCACTCCCTTTCTAGGCAAGATGCTACATATGACTGGGATCCCTGCCTTAGACCTGACTACTTCTATGGCTGACCTGTACTTATCCAGCAGCTCTGTCTCCTGCCCTTCACAATGTCATTACCCCCGGGCCACAAAGACAGATAATGGGCTTGTTCCCATTAACTGACATAATATTGTCCAACCTGTTGACTATGTCACCAACACAAGCTCCTGGGAGGCACACCCTCTGTCTGCCCTTTCTGTCTCTGTTACAAAAAGCACAGCCCCATATATCTTACCTGAGAATCTCCTACAATTAGAATATTCTTACCTTGATTAGCAGGGGAATCAGTGGTACCTTAAACCCTCACAAACCCCACTGAAGTACACCCCTCTTGGAGAACAGAGAATGAATTTCTACCTTCACATCTTCTCTGTTAACCCTCCTCATCTTCCTTCTTCCTGAATTTTGAACCACTTGCCACTTAAAGCGGCTGCCACTGTCACTGCTGGTGACCAGTTCCTCCTTACCAGCTAAATCCATCTCACACTCACTCCCAAACCCATCTAGGAGAAGCTTCAGCTTCTATTTTCCTTCTGAAGAAGTAGAACTTCCTTCTTCAACACTTGAAGCTGAGATTCTAAAACACTACAACAAGCCATGGTGCTTGGTAACACCCCAGGCTAACTCCCAGCGAGCTTAGAACAGGTATGACTACATGTGGCCACTTACCTCAGTACTTGTCAATTTTCTTCTTGAATAATTCTACACTACTTCTGGCAGTATTTCTGATGTCTTCTGGTAAGATGTTAAAAAATCTGGGACCACGGATGTTGATACAATGTTATATTATTATGCCAATGGCGTCCCTGCTTTTCACTGGGTTCATTCTACATTTGTCCCACATTTTTTTTCAGTATATTGTGTGTGGATTTGGAATTAGGGTCTCAAGTGTCTTTCATGCATTCCCAGTAATTTATGTTTTAATTTGTGTAACTGGGCTGTAAATGATCTCTGTATCTGTTCAGGCTCTGATATCTGTTGCTGCCCCGAACGGAGCCATCAACGCTGAAAAATACTATTAACGATTGCGTACAAGCGGTTTGAAAAGGGCCAACATTGGTAATTTCCTTTGTTCTGAAAGTTCTCATTGTCCATCCTATCATTCTTCTCTGATTCCCACGACATTTATCTTAATGTGTTCTTTGAAAGAAAGGTCAGCTGGCATAACTGCCAGGTCCTTCACGTGATCCTTGAGTTGTATTTGGAAATCTTCTGGGTTGTTTACAGTCTCCTTTTCGAGTTCTTCATTCGTTCCAATATGTTAAGTAAAAGGACACATTTTGTGGCAACGTTTCGCTCTCCAGGAGCTTTATCAAACCGTTACACTCTAGTATCGATTTGATAAAGCTCCTAGAGAGCGAAATGTTGCCACAATAAAAGTGACATTAGTTGTACTTATGTACTTACTCAACATATTGTCGGTAATTCTACCATCGTTAATATGAACATCACGTAATTTTCTACTATCCATTGGAAGAATTTGCTTATATCTTCTTGTTATTTTTCAGAGTCTTCTACCAAAGTGATTTTATATATATTTTGGTATTATCCTCATATGTTGATATAAACTTTAGCGACTGTTTTTATCTATGTTTGGTATGAGGATAAGAAACAGTAAAGGCGCCTAATCATGTGATGAGAAAGTGAGTTTTTTATTGGGAAATGTTGGGACTTTACTGTTTACTAATACTCTTTGTATTCTGTTATCTGAATTTAAATTTTCCATTTTCCCATTCTTCTCGTTATCACCCTCATTCTGCTGAAGGGAAACCCGAAGAGGATCGAAATATACAGACTAATTTTGTCTCCATGTGGTTATTATTGAGCAGTGACAAGTGTTCTTTTACACTTTAGTTATCCATAAGTGTATAGATGTGAGTAACACTGTGCTCCTGCAGCTGGGCATGACGGAGGTGCAGGTGCTGGAGGCGACGAAACTGGCAGTACACAGAGTCAACCAACTCAGTCTCGTACCCGGAATCAAACTAGGTCAGTGATTTTTTTTTTTTTTTTTTTAATAATGGCACCCATCACGTCACAGGTTTTATTTTGTCGCATTTCTAGTAAGTTTTCCATTAGAATTGTTTCCCGAGAGTACGCATTCTTAATAATAATAATAATAATAATAATAATAATAATAATAATAATAATAATAATAATAATAATAGCATACAAGCGCATAAAACATATATAAGTAATATAAATATACAAGCCATTATAGATGGCAATAAAATAAACAAAATTCACAGAAACTAACTTGTCTTCTGTAACATTGTAGTGAGATATTTGTGCTTGGTGTGATTCGCAGATCCTTTTCATATTAGGTGGAATATTGGACAGTCATACCCATATTTCTTCCTCGACCTATTGTAGCCTTTCCCTCTTGCTAGTTTTTATGTTTATCAGCACAGAAAATCCAGCTCACACTGGTAAGATGGGGAAAATTGCATTAGAATTGCCAGGGCTTTTATCGCAACTTAAGGATATTCTTTCTTAATCTCTATCCAGAATTCGTCCAGAGACACTTCCTTATGCTTTATTTTCAGACTCCAACATTACGCATTTCATTTAATTCCTCTTCATGACTCACGAAATCGTAATGATAAGATTGGAAGCAAATCATACCACGGATGGGGTTAGAACCCGCGATCAGAGAGTCACAAAACTCCAGACCGTCGCGTTAGCCACTGGGCCAGCTGGTCCAGTGGCTGTGGTTTAATTCCTCTTCTGTGAGACTGAGCTTCGACGGGCTTGATACTGATGCAATAATTGGTTTCTCAACCGGTCATAGTCTTCCCTACATAAGTTTGGGTAATGATATTGATTTTTTTTTCTGCAAGTACTTCAAGACACCAAAAGTAAATGGCAGGATCTCTTCATTCTTTGTTGCAGCAACGTGTGGCAACATATCCATGTTGCCTTCTTTCACTCTGACAGCCCAAATTCTTAATTTATCTCTCAGAGTATTAATTTTGTCAGTGTTGCCTTGCATGTTGAAATTTACCTTGTTAAATGTTCGAAGATATCCAGTCAGTAGGATAATTTTGTAGACCAAGTGTCACCTGCAAGCAACACACGATATTCTTCTTGCTGCTCAAGGGTAAAAACAGTAACACATCCTTGAGTTCATACACTCATGACATGCTTTGCTCCAACTTCTTCACATAGTTTGCCAAAAAGTCGTGATTGAAATAGACAACTTTTTTTATGTAGTTCACCAGTTTTCAAACTTTGTCTAGTACAGCCTTCAACTTCTTGCCGATTGTTCTTGCAAGCAGCACCTCACGATGGACAAAGTAGTGTGTTGTTACGTAGATAAATGGTTCAAAGAACGGACAAGATGGTGAATTAGACACTCGTGCAACACTTGGGTATCTGTAAACGTTTCGCAAACCAGTCCAGTACAAAGAATGGCTGAAGATCAGAAGGAGTTTGAGGTAATCAGTCCCTGAACCTGATGTCTATGTGCGGAGACGTAGGTTATGTACTGTAGACAGGTGAGGTGAAGCAGTCGTAGAAGGTGTCATTTTTGACAAATCTTTAGGTGGAAGTAGATTATGCCTACTGATGAAACCACTGTGTGTCAAAATGTTTCCTCAGTAAAGATACTCAAGTGCTGCGCATGACTCTATTTTATCAACTTGTCGGTTCTCTGAACCATTTATATACATTCCTGTAAGACACAGCAATATCTTGGGTTCTTGATACGGAAAATTCTTCACTTGCCTAACCTTTAAGCATAACCTACTTCTCTTGTGGATTTATCCAAGGTGACACTACCTATGACTGCTTCACCTCACCTGTCTACAGTATATAAGCTCCGTCTCCTCACAAATGCTGTACTCCTATCAAGACTAACGGGCTGATCACATCGACTCCAGGCTGAGAGACTGATTACCTCAAAACTCCTTCTGATCTTCAACTATTCTTCTCTGTATTGAACCGAGGAAGCCACTGGTTGGCGAAACGTTTACAGAATAGATTCCCAAGTGTTGCACGAGTGTTTAATTCATCACTGCTTTGTTATGACATCACTGGTATTACCTGAGAGTGGAATCTTTTTTTTCTTCCTCTTGGCTCTCAACGATGGTGTTTACTATGGTACTGCACACTGGGAGAATATGTCTCTCTGCTTCTGTATGAGGCTTCATATTTTACTGAGTAATTCTGCTGCTAAGTAGCTGTTCTTCTGAAATTTGTTAGAAATTTTGACTCTTTTAGAAAATATCAGCTGTGATGTCTTCACTCATTTAAAAGTCTCTCAAAGTTTGATGGAGTCTTGTTAGTAGGATGATCATGTTTCACAGTGAAATGTCTCTTTATATTCTGGCTACCATGGCTTCACTGGCCAGTTAATCACCACAAATACCACATTCTGGCGTAGGATTAACTTCATCGCCACAACACGTAAATCCCAGATCTAAATAACTGCCCAAATATAGACGACTTTTCTTTCTTCTATTCACATCAGTTTTACGGGAAGTGGGACCTGTTGTTTCTCTTCATTTTGTCTTCGTGTTCACAAACTTGTCCATGTTAAGTTAAAAGGTAAGCTACTGTGTAACACGTTAGTGGTAAAGTGAGAAAGTGACTAGTTACATCTCCCTGGCAAGTCAACACGTCAATGACGACAACCAGTCATGTATAGGACAAACCATACAACGGGTGGGTTTAGAACCCGCGATCAGAGAATCTCAAAACTCAAGACCGTCGGGTTAGCCACTGGGTCAGTGGCTAACGTGTCGGTCTGGAGTTTTCAGACTCTCTCATCACGGGTTCTAACCCCACCCGTTGTATGGTTTGTTTGTAATCGTGTCATTATGATTTCAAGAGTCATATGTAGGACAACACAAACTGCAAACTTGTAAACAAAGAAAATTATGATTGTAAACCAAAGACAAAAGGTGACAATGATATAAATTTAATTTCCCATCTTCATGAACTTTGTCTTAATATTAATCATGCATTTACTATTATACTATAATAGTTTATCATTAAGTGACATCTGTTCGAAAAAAATTATAACAACTCTTGTGTTGTAGTTAATTATACGACAAATTCTAGTCAAAAAAATATTATGTTTTAATCAGTGGCACACCAGTGTGCCACTGCTCCCCTGTTACTGCCAGTGGCACACCAGTGTGTAGCTGCTCCCCTGATACTGCCAGTGGCACACCAGTGTGCCGCTGCTCCCCTGATACTGCCAGTGGCACACCAGTGTGCCGCTGCTCCCCTGATACTGCCAGTGGCACACCAGTGTGCCGCTGCTCCCCTGATTATGCCAGTGGCACACCAGTGTGCCGTGCTCCCCTGATATGCCAGTGGCACACCAGGTGTGCCGCGCTCCCCTGATTTCTGCCAGTGGCACACCAGTGTGCCGGATCCCCTGATACTGCCAGTGGCACACCCGTGTGCCCTGCTCCCATGATACTGCCAGTGGCACACCAGTGTGCCGCTGCTCCCCTGATAAGCCAGTGGCACACCAGTGTGCCACTGTCCCTGATACTGCGTGGGACACCAGTGTGCCGCTGCTCCCCTGAAAACTGCCATGGCACACCAGTGTGCCGCTGCTCCCCTGATACTGCCAGAGGCACACCCGTGTGCCGCTGCTCCCCTGATACTGCCAGTGGCCCCACCAGTGGGCCGCTGCTCCCCCGATAATGCCAGTGGCACACCAGTGTGCCGCGCTCCCCTGATACTGCCAGTGGCACACCAGGGGCCGCTGCTCCCCTGATACTGCCAGTGGCACACCATGTGCCACTGCTCCCCTGATACTGGGCCCGTGGCACACCATGGTGCCACGCTCCCCTGATACTGCCAGTGGCACACCAGTGTGCCGCTGCTCCCCTGATACTGCCAGTGGCACAACAGTGTGCCACTGCTCCCCTGATACTGCCAGTGGCACACCAGTGTGCCACTGCTTCCCTGATACTGCCAGTGGCACACCAGTGTGCCACTGCTCCCCTGATACTGCCAGTGGCACACCAGTGTGCCGCTGCTCCCCTGATACTGCCAGTGGCACACCAGTGTGCCGCTGCTCCCCTGATACTGCCAGTGGCACACCAGTGTGTCGCGGCCCCCCTGATACTACCAGTGGCTCACCAGTATGTCGCGGCACCCCTGATTCTACCAGTGGCACACCAGTGTGTCGCGGCCCCCCTGATACTACTAGTGGCACACCAGTGTGTCGCGGCCCCCCTGATACTACCAGTGGCACACCAGTGTGTCGAGGCACCCTGGTTGAGAAACAATGAGCTAGGCAGAGCCGGACTTAGGAGGTGCAGGGCCCAACTGGGAAAATTTTGGTGGGCGCCATTTATGGAAAACAATCAAACTGTGCGCTTAAAAAATGCCTGAGAGTTAATAGACCTCACAGTTGTAAGTTACATTTTAATATAAAACTGCAGACATGTAAGTCTACAAGTAACAAACAAAATTTGTATAAAACCTCTGAAAATTACATAGTCACAGTACCACTTGCTTTACTGACTCTGAAAAGTACATAGTCACAGTACCACTTGCTTTACTGACTCTGAAAAGTCATAGTCACAAATACCACTTGCTTTACTGACTCTGAAAAGTACATAGTCACAGTACCACTTGCTTTACTGACTCTGAAAAGTACATAGTCACAGTACCACTTGCTTTACTGACTCTGAAAAGTACATAGTCACAGTACCACTTGCTTACTGACTCTGAAAAGTACATAGTCACAATACCCCTTGCTTTACTGACTCTGCAAAGTACATAGTCAAAACTTTCCACTTGCTTTACTGACTCTGAAAGTACATAGTCACAGTACCACTTGCTTTACTGACTCTGAAAAGTACATAGTCAAGTACCCACTTGCTTTACTGACTCTGAAAATTACATAATCACAGTACCACTTGCTTTACTGACTCTGAAAAGGACAAAAGTCACAGTACCAAATTGCTTTACTGACTCTGAAAAGTACATAGTCAAAAGTACCACTTGCTTTACTGACTCTG